AATAAAAAGTAATTATTATAATAGAAATATTAAATGAAATAATTAATGGTATACAATAAAGTGAAAGAAAATATGATTTGTTAATATTAAAAATGAATAGAAATATGACATTTAAATTGATTTATTATAAAATGATTATTTTTGTAATTTGCCTCTGTTATTATCTGTTATAAGAATGTTATTATTATTAATAATTATAATAACAAGATATACAAATATGTAGAATTATTTTTGTTTACTTTTTATTTTATAATAATTTTATATCTCAATGCATATTGCACGATAATAATCATAAAAATTGTATATCGTTATAATAAGAGGAATTTGATTGAATGTGTAAAAATAAACAAATGGTTTTACAGAGAAAAGTCGAAAATGGGTAAAGAAATTTTGAATGACTACGAAGGATGAACTGATTTTCACTAACATAAGCCATTTTCTGAAAAATGCCCTTGCTTGTAGTAGGAAATCGTTGAAACTAGAACAAGCAGCGGTTTACATCTCGCAAAATACTTCCCTTTCGATCTTCCTTTCCTGAATTCGCGTGTTCGCAAGCTCCTTTTCTCGGTCTGCTAAATTACACGATTTCCGAGAGATTTCGGACCTGTATAGGATGCTTCTCACGTATCTTCTTGAATCACTCTAATACTTTATTAAATAATTCGAAGCTTAGGTATTACGTTCCTACTATGAATCTATTTAATATAATTAATTTTTTCTTTTTCTTATTTCTCAAAAAATAAAAAACCAGATTTTTTCTTTCCTTTTTAAGAGAATTATTTAGAATTCAATTAAAATTGGTGGATTCAATCAATCGGTTGAACGTAATCTATCGATTTGAAATTTTATTTTTCCTTTAATCTTGATAAGTTTTATTATCATTATTATATTTTTTATTTAAAATAATAAAACGTAGAGAGAGAGAGAGAGAGAGAAAGATAAGAATAATATTATATAATATTTATATATTAAACCGAGTGTGTAAACATTGTTTTTATTATTCTCCTATTTGCGGATTTAAGAGATTCGTTCATTTTTAAATTCGTTTAGCAACAATCCTTACTGTCTATTTACTTTACTTAAAAAATACCGTAGTTATATATTTTCTTCGTGAAATTTAAAATAATGCACACAAAAAATGTGTAAAAAAAAAAAAAAGCACAGTAGATGAAATTTAATATTATAATATATTTTACTTTGAAAAACTTTAAAGTACTTTTACCGTAAATTCTTACATAAACCTTTTCAAAAGTAAATGCTCGATCAGAGTATAAGTATATATATACACCATTAAAAAAAAATCTTACTTTTCCAATATAACAGAAATAAACACTATCGACCAATAATTATTAACAATATTATTATAACGATCAAATTTTTTTTAATTATTCAAAACAAAAAAACCAAATCTAATACTACGCAAGAACTAAAAACTATTAAAGAGAGATACTTTCTAAAAAAAAGAAAAAAGATTTAAAATTCATAAAATAAGAACACAAGAGCAACATAACATTTTCCCTGAGATTTTATCTTTCAACGGTTTTTACTTGATTTTCTCTACTACGGTAAATTGCTACGTAAACCTTTCCAAAGTGAAAGTCGGATCAAATAAGAGTTAACATCAGTAGGAAGGAACGAGTATCCTTCTCTCACAGAGATAGAAGAGAAATTAACTAGACCGTTTGGTAATGGACCGATTTCCTCGAGTAATTTCAAGAAGACGCAACCCATCTACTATTTTTCTTCGGCTTTTCCGGTAGTGCGTCAAGTCGACTGCACCGTTATACGTCGACTTTTCCGACATCGTACAACATCGTGGTGATGAACGGGGGGAGGGAGGGAGGGAGGGAGGAAAAGAGGGGCG